ATTGTAAAAATGAAAGCGGGCGAGTTTCTACACAGTTGTTATAAAAAGTACAGTATTTAACATGCTACTTAACTTCTACGGTGGTTACCTCGGTCTTCATGTTAAGCAATATCACAAATTGTACTGAAATTTTAACATAGAATCTTTGTTTTGCATCCCGTGATTAAAAGGGGTTACGTATATTAAGGTAACCAAACACAATGTTAAAATTTCAGCTTATGACATTTTCTAAGGTTAAGATGAAGAAATTTTCCACCTTTAATTTTGTACTAAAATAAACCAGAAGAAAAAATGTTTGATAAAAAATTCCAGTAAATAAAGTATTGTGACGAACATGAATGATAGAACAAAATCAAACCGACGATAAATTGCCAGAAGCAACTAGACAGCGAATTCGTAGCTTTTTTTTAATTTTGTACTAAAATAAACCCGAAGAAAAAATGTTTGATAAAAAATTCCAGTAAATAAAGTATATATATATATTGTGACGAACATGGATGATAGAACAAAATCGAACCGACGATAAATTGCCAGAAGCAAATAGACAGCGAATTCGTAGTTGGCAGAATGTTCTAGACGCACATACTCTATGCACAACAATGGGAATATTTCAATTCGATACAGAGCAACCAGGACGAAGTGCATGTTGGATTGAAGTCGGGCATCTCATAGTAGATATTTTCGAATTCTTGATTCTCATCTCATACTAGATATGCACGAATTCTTGTTCCTCCAAGATGAGAGTCCTCTGCGTATAAATAGCAGTGCTGGGCGTTACCTTTCGCAATGTGGTGTGCTCCAAAAGATACAGCCATTTCTTAACCTTCTTTGCGCCGCGCGCCGCATTGGTTGTAAGGAATACTGTTAGAGAGTGCATTTTGGTTATTTGGAGATCTTAATGATTTATTTCAGCCGTATACCCAAAGGTACGTTATTTGACGATACACCAGCAAAATGGAAAGTGCTGAGTGTCATCTAAAAACACTTAACAAATACGCAAAGTAATATATTGTAATATGTAGTTAATTTAATCGATAGCGACTTAAAAATAGTATTAAAAATAGTTGAAAATTAATTTGAATAGTTTCTATTATTATTTTTCCGAAATAAACTCCACTAATCTTTTTAGTTTTTTTTAATTTTTTGATCACCCGCACCGGCACAGTGTTGAAAACCGTAATACCACAAAAAAGTTTAAGTTCGAAAATATTTCTGACGGATTGAGTTGATATCGTTTTTAAACTTCAACCAAATTACAATTAAAATGGGATCCCTAACCGTGGGTTTTTTTAAATTTTGACAACTGACAATGTTTGATCCAACTTTAGAGATAGGAAAGTTTATATCTCAATTTATAGTCGCAATATATTTGTTATAAATGATCTTTTTATTATACCAGCATAAGGTAATTTAGCGGCTGGATTGAGTAAGTATTCAAAAAAACCACGTAATTTCATTACAGGCATATTCAAAGCTAATAGTTTAGGACAACTTTAAACCATGCATCCAAAACAACGTGAATGCTTCTATTTATGCTTGCTATTATAGAACTGCAATCAATCTCCACAACAAACAGCTATACATTACTGGAATTGACCCGCATTTTATCCGGCCAAGGACTGTAATTTTGTCGATCTAACCCTGTTGGAATCGTTAAATAATTAGTTAAATTTGTTATCCTTGGGGCCACCCCTTGCAGATACATGTTCCGGCCTTAAGAAACATAAGGAGTGGACCACTAGTTATGTGACTATATGCTGCCAACACCCACCTACGATCCCCGCCTCTACTTTATTGCAATTAGCACCTAATTCGCGCACTACGCAATATCTCGTAATGATTGGCCAACAAAGAACCTCTACGGTCCTCAGGTGCTCAATTAGACAGCATGACCCCCAGTATGATCAGACCCCTCTCCCACCTTTATTCCGCTCCAATTCTCGTACGAGAACTATACGCTAATTCCAGGTTGCCTAAATCTATCCCCGCAGCACCTCACAATGGTGTCACCAAACAAGAACAGATCGAATGGCGGAACATATTAACCATTCGACATTATCTGCAATGAATAACGAAGCTCCCACCAGAATGGTGCCCATAATAGCCTGCCTGCCTTTAGCATCGTTGGCAGTGGCCAGAATGAGCAAAACCTGACGACTGTTGACAACAGCTCCTTTGTTAACCTTAACAAAGCGAGCTTGATCGGGTTCGTAGAAGTTACTGAGAGCACCTTCACCAAACTCGTTATCCCTAAAAAAAAAATAAAAGACATAGTCGTTGTCGAACGTCAATTCCGCTCGCTTCGCTCCGGCTGGAAGATTTCAGGTGTTCCCTGCGTTAGGGAGCTCAAGTGGTAAATCAGCATAAGCAAACAAGATGGGTGGATCACTTGAAGTATTGCAACCTTTCCACCGGTGTAAGTTATGACTACCGGGTTGAAACTCAGTTCGATGGCTATGCCTCCCTGAGTCCGAAGAGCTATTTTAGCCCCCAATCTACAATGCTTCCTTCGATGAATAAGGTCAAAAGACGTGTTCCCTGGCGGCTGCAAAAATTGCCAAAAGATTTCGCACCGACGTGGAGGTTTAAGGTTGTCAACAATTGGAAGTCGTCTAAATTCATCGGTTAAGACGCCATTAACATGCTCGCTAAGAGTAAAATATCTATCCAAGGTTCTAAATCTGTCGCTGACCACTCTCCTCATAAACGAATGAAGAAACTCGGAAGACTGCTGAAACTCGCCAACCTAGGGGAACCTTATCGTCGTATAACTTTTCTTATCCCATTACTGAAGCCACTTGTGGCCGTGTTACTTCCGACAATCATTCTGATCAATCTGAGTCTAGCAGACTACCACTGTGAATTCCGAAAAGTGCACAGCACCGCTGCAGTACTTATTGTCATAAATGCCCAGATCGTGGCACTATTCAAAAACCAGTCTGTATGAGGATAGGAGGACTGGTGATCAAAACCGTTCGGTAGATTTTTGAAAACAAGAAAAGCCAGTGCCGTGATAGAAGGGATTTTTTATGAACAATTAACTTCTTTCCCTGACAAGGGAAATATCTACAATAAAACTCTCCTGAGGCCGCCAACAATCGGGAACGAGATTATCGATCAGTAAAATTTTAGATGAATCTCCAAGGAATAGTGATAGTCACCTCAAAGAGCTTCAGCTGAAACTAGATCAACACAACAAGGCATTACTTTTCAAATTAATTAAATAATTAATTTTTTTCGTCAAGTCAATTCCAAACCTTATTTATTGATTCTATGTTTTTACTTTTACAAATTAAAATAATGTCCCTATTAAGTTAGTCCACTCAACTGATAATTGAAGCAATTTTACTTCAGATCAACCCAACTCTTTTTTGATATCACGAACTTCAACTATTTTCAGTCGAAGTTTCGTTGGTGTTACCAACCTAAAAAAATAAAATTTGACAGATAATTAACAGCTGCCAATTTTCAAACGAAAAATAAAAAACAATTAAATTCAGAAAAAGTGATAAATTATTAAAATGGACATAAGTTTTGATTTATTTAACGATGAGAAAAATGCTGGGCCAAAACTGATGGGCTGCGAATAAGAAAAAGCTTCCGTGATCACTCAAATCCANAGATTGCACCGCAATTTGTAGACGCAGGTTCAAGGCCCTCGGTTCCATTTTTGTGACCAGGGATCACATTGCCTCAATAGCACCCAGCAAGTATCTGGAGTTTTTCAGGGTGCTGGGACTTTGGGAATGCATGTGATGGAGGAGAGGGCACAATAGACCCTAGGTCGCAGTGCATACCTCATTTGCAAATCTAATCTAATCTAATCTAACTTATTTGTTTTTTTTTTTTTTTTGTTGTAGCGGCAAAGTTCTGATCAGATGTCTAAAAACGTGAATAGTTAGTGGATATACAAGTGAAAAATATAAGTGTATAATTCATTTTAAATCAAAAAAATACGTACTTTAAATAGTTGAAATTATAAATTTTAAACGTAAATATTTAAAAAAGTTTCCCGCGGCTATATCTATACATATTATGGGTCGGCTTTAGAATAACGTCCCACGCTTTCGGGGATAAAATGGCTATGGGAGATCCTCCAGATCAAGAATATATATAGATATAGCCGCGGGAAACCTATGGTTTTCGAGATATTTGGGTTTAAAGTTCAAAATTTCGACTATTTAAAGTACTTATTTTTTCGTTATAGAATGAATTTTACACTTATATTTTTAACTTTTATATCCACTAACACTTCACTAATTCGTTTTTACACATTTTTTTTATATTATATCATAAAAAATATTTTAATTCTACAATTTTTGTGATTTTCACAATAACAAGATGGTTGCAAAATGTCAAATAACCAGTGTTACCTTATCGACATATTTTGTAAGTGAACTGAAAGAAATGAAAACAGATTATACCCCAATTAAAATTTGTTGAAATTCCACTCATTTTTTAAATAAAAACTTGAATCATAACTTTTATAATTTATCCTTTGCACAATTTAAGCACAACTCACTAAACGCGTTTGAATTTTATTTGGAAATGGAAAAAACGAAACGGTACTTTTCTTCAAAAGTAACAGTATTAATATCCGTTAAAGAGCATTGATGTTAAGGATTATGTTATACCCTCTATGACAATATTACTTTTCGCGTAGAACTCCTTTTTGCGTTTTTTTCCATATTATTCATCTGGAAAACCTGATCTATCCGCCCATACTCTTTTTATTTTTATTCTAAAGCCTACCCCGGATTTGTAATCTTCGCGTCAAAATAAGATGATTTAAATAGATATTTAATTTTCGGGACTTCCTTCGTTAAGGGACCTAAACTATAATTTTACCGTAATTCCTTGATTACATACATATATACATATGTAATGTCATTAGATAAGAACATTTCCAATTCAACAGCACTAAAACTGATAAATTGAAATAATTATATTATAAATATTTTTGCAATAATGAAATAATTCTGAAATTAAATCCAAAAAAGAAATTGAATATGTTTAAAAGTTAATTTTTATACCTGTAAATCCCTTTTTCTTCATTTAATCCCGATGTTTCTGCACGGTAACATCTACTCACAGCAGCAATTTTCAGTGGCAAGCTTTGTTCTTCAATAACTTGATCAGAAAATAAACCTGCTAGTGCCATTTCGGATGTACCAGACAAACATTCTTCAGAGTCAATTTTATAAACTTGAGTACGGTTTCCTTCTGTTTGCATGCCACATCCATTAATAATGTTACTTGGTAAGATATCGGGGACAGATATAAGCTTGAATTCATTCTTCTTTAGGTATGACGTTGTGTATCTCACTAAAGACTGTTCTAAACTCGCTAGATCACCCATTAAGTAGTAGCTTTTATGGCCTGCGAAATGCCCTAAATGCTCCATTCTTAATACATTCAAATACTTACATACGTCAGAAAATGGTTCTGCTTTGGCGGGTGCTAAGTTATTATTATATACTTCATACCCTTCTTCACCATAATCAACCAAACGGGAATGTGTAGCATTAGGAAGCTTTCCAAGTTCAAATTCAATCCTTCGTTGTAGCTCTATATCATTCGGACTTTTTTGCAGTTGTTTAAGTAGGGTTTTTATAACTGGTACATTATTTGTATGCTTCCTTAGCAAAATGTTGTTCTCAATATCGCGCAGAAAAATGTCGTTCAGATAATAGCTTGAGAATAATCTTTTATGCTTGTTTTTGGTCCATACAGCTCTATAATTACAAAATATTTCAGAAACTACTGGCCGTGAAAATTCGTATAAAAGTATTTTAGTTCCCGCCATCAATAAACCAAGTGCCTTACTAAGGCTTACTAGATTAATAAGATTAGCAATAATCACATAACATTCGTAACAATTCTAGCTAGACATCTCCACAGTATATCAGTATCGATCAGTGTTACCAACTCGAATATTAAAAAATACTTGTTTGTGACTTTAAAAGTAGGTCGATTTCACTACGTATGATTTAAGAATTACGTAGATCTACCAACTTTTTTTTCGAGGTTGTTAAAGATTCCTTTCGAAGATCTAATACTCATAATTGATTTCTTTAATAAAAAAAAATATATTTTAATAACTATTTTAAAAAAACTAACAAGAATAAACTAAATTATGAATTTTTACAATAAAAATATTAACAAATTGTCGGTTGAACATTATTACATATTAGAGTTATTAAATTATTTTTATTAAATATGGTATTAAATTTTATAAAAATTATTAAATTTTTTTATATCAATACAATCCTGTTTTTGTTTTTCTTTTAAAGAATACATATTTTGGTTGAATAATTTATAGGCTGACGAACCGTATCTAGAGAAGTCGAAAATTGATTTAATATATCCCAAATAACCGAGTAATAAACCATAAGCACAAGAAGATTAGTGGACATGACAGAAAACCCGAAAAAAACAAACCTTTCACACTACTTATGTGTTTAGAGCTAGCAGCATGTTTAGAAAAAGTAAATTTTCCCCCATCACACTTCAAATCACAATTACATGCGATAAAAAGATTTTTTCCCACGATTTACAATATTTTTGCTCGTAGTGAATTTTTTGTACTTTTCGGGACTTACTATTCATATCTGATTCACTTTCACCCATTATTGCTATATCTTTTAATATTTAAATTACTTTATAGCAGTCACAAAACATTTTGTCATTAGTAAACTATTTTTTATTAACAATTATCAAATTACTATCGGGTATCGAATTATTGCAAAAATATGGTCCCCGATTCCTTATTGGTAGAAAAATATAGGCGGGGAATTTAAATTCCTATCAAAAGTAAATAATTTGATTGGTGATAAAAAGTAAAGGTCTTAACATATTATTTTTACAAAAATCAAATTAAATTTTTATAAAATTAAAATAGTTGGTAGATTTTTTATCCAAGTAGGTAGGTTTGAAAATATATTAAAAATTGGTAGATCTACCTAAAAGTAGGTAGAAGTGGTAACAATGGTATCGATGTACAACAGGTCTTTTCCGATAAATATGCGAGAGCCAAGCTAAGTAACGACTCATTCACATACAAGATTCTTCGACTTCCGTGACAGTTCGTACCAGGGATAATGGGATGCCCAACTCTTTCCAGTGTGAGAGCGCCTCAAAATTAGCGTTTTTTATAACATTTTCCATTGTAGCCAGATCGGACAAAATAAAAATTTTTGGGCATTTAAATTAAAATACCCAATTTGCAGTTTCCACACCACCCAGGAGGTATGCAAAATGGAGCGTTACCGAAGTATTTTTGGTGCTCGGTTCCCAGTAGGCCTATATCACCCATTATACATTTATTTGTATAAAAACTAAAGCAAAAAAACAAAGATAACAATTCACAGATTAATCCATATAAAATAAAATTAACAAAACAATATCACTTCATATCCAAGATACCATTAATATTAGTATATAAAATATACATATATACATATGCCTACATTTAAACCCCAAATTCTAATTTTACTTAAAAATTTAATTATATTTTAGAGCCTCTTTGTTCTAGCCTATCTGTTTAAAAATTTGTTTGGTATAATATTGTATATTAAGTTCACTTATTGTAACCACTAAAAATAAATATAAAACCTATAGGTGTGAAACACCAAAATTTTATTTTAAAATTAGGGACAGAAAGTTCTTTATTTAAAAATTTTATTATAAAATAAATTCTTATTCGAATAAAAGGGCTATAACTATTTTCGGTCACAATTTTCACAACACAAAAAGGCCTAACATCTTTCATTTTATTAAAAGAATGTCTCCTATTCCTTTTTATGGCAATTACTATGAATTCTTCTAAAATTTTGTTTCAAGACTTTACAAATGCAACAAACTCGAGGCGGCTTAACTAAATTGCATTTGTCGATTTGATTTTGATATATGAAGATGAATTCGTCGAAGAATTTCATCTCCTAAATAGGTAATGGAAGGAGCATGAGTGCATTTTGAAAATTTTAAATAAAGATAGCCGCAAAAAATACTAAAGCATTTTCTTTTAAAAGTTAATTTCTAAGTACTATCTAAGAAATTGATCTAATGAGGAAGTGTTCAGGCCGTGGTAAGCCTTGAAAATCCTGCCAAGAAGGTCGTTCAAAAGTGAATCATTGCACACATTAAGTAGAACATTATTACAATGTTCTGAAATTACTGTAGCATCAGGTTCTAAAGGCAGCTCACAGTTTCCTTTGTTACGATATTTACATAACGTAAACCCCACGATTTCTAAATAAACTAGAGAACATGTAAGGCGTTACTCTAGTACCCCCTGCTTCTAACTGCCCAAAAAATTCCAACTGTCCTGACATAGTCGTCTAGTCTTCAGATGGAAATCCTAGTGTGACAAAATCGCCACAAACGTCTTAAACTGTTTATATTTAATACCCATCCCTTTAAAAATAAAATTAGGTTGTGTTGTTTTCTAACTCATCTATGACCCGAATAGTTTTAAAATTCTTTCGCCTCATCTAAAACTCTAACTGTTCTGGGAACCTACAAACACTTTTTAGTGGTACAATAGCCTCAACGAAACTGCTATTAAAATGTCAAATAATTATTAAAGAGAACAGAATTCGCGGTATTAATAAAGCTCCCACTGTTCGAGCTTAAAGCTCCCAGCTATAAGGGACAACATACCAAAGGACCCGTATTACTCAATACCTGAGATGCAAATTTAACCTTCATTTTTGGAAGGTATTGGATAAATATGAGCATCGGTAATTTATGCGCCACCGATAACTCGACTTTGAGTCGATTTCATAAAAATGAATAATATCCGACCAACTTACGCGACAATTTTTAAAGAAAACCGTATTTTCAAATTCTGTAACAGTTACGACTACTTTTTATAAATGGGGCTATCGTAAAAATATATTTCCTTGCCATTGACATTAAAAAGGCCGTGACGCTGAAACACCTAACAAATTAGCAAAATTTGAAAATTGTGCCCTGGTCGCATACAAAATGGCAGGAATTAGTCCTATATTTTGGAGTTGAATATCACTTCAAGAATATATTTCTTGAGGACATCCCTTTGCAGGCTCCTTTCACGAAAAATAAGCTAATGGGTGGGACCAAGGCTCCCCACCTATACCTTGCACCATTATGGTCATTGCAGTTGTGGCTTTCTCGAGTGCGATTTTCATCGCCATAATCTTCAATACCTATTATCCTATCAAATTTCCTATCATACTGCAAATGACATTTCAATGACATTTCATCGCATGAAATCGACACGAACTTTGTTCAAAAGAATCCCCTACTCCTAATCTCTAACGATTTTATGCTGCTTTGGGTGCAACCTGGAAACGAGGGCCAGTGTAACAAAATTTTCCAAAGTACTTTCGGAGAAAATCTAACTGTGCTTAAGTGACGATAAGCAACTGGCGACAAAAATACACCCAAAAGCTATCGTTTAAGTAAAATTATCATAACGCCGACCGTGGTTACGGCGCGATTACTATTATAAAACTACTTCTAATACAAACTCACTAACTGAGAAGAACTTATGCTGCTAAACATATCTCTCAGAGGAGTCTACTCTTCCTGAAATGAACCACTTACTTAGACACTTGTCCCTACTTATCTCCCTTATACATATAAATTACCCTATAGACAATTTTGTCCCTCAATACTCTGTGTATCCTTATATTTTCCTATACCATTTTTGGTTCACCTATTGGTGCTCTTAATCAAGCTTCTATTTAACTTCACTGTTTTTATTATATATTCTCCTCTATCACTTTCTACTTTAATATTCTAATTCTTCCCCTATTCTTAGTCTATTCCTCGCTGTCAGACCATCACCGGTTTGCGGCCTTTACTCGGTACATTATCACATAGTTTTCCTCGTCAAGAGTGGAAGGGTCAAAATTATTTCGCAATCTCTTCTTCGGAAGAAGCGCCCGCGCACCTTGCTGAGCAGATTTTCCATTGACGAAATGCTTCAAACCAGTTCATGGGTTTTCAAAAGCAATTGAAGGCGTTAATGTGGTCACTAATATGTCGGGAACGCCTCGACGAATTTTTGGCGCATTTTTGAAATGTCGTTCATATAATGTGTTTAGTGTTTCTTCTAAATCTTTCAAAACCTAAACTCTGAGCCAACATTTACGCCTATTAAAGAAAGAATTATATACGTAAGTTATAAAATAATATAATATAAAATATATATAATTATAATAGTGCAAAAATGGAAAACACAGTAAACTTTTATTTTAATAAAGACGAACCGATATTTAATTTAGTTAGTTATTTTATAATTATCATAAATATTCAACGATAAGTCGTTACTTCAAAATAATTTTAGAATTAAATTTAGATAAATCGTAAAAAACTATCGAACTCATATTTAACACTTGTTACAATTATTTAAAACTTTTTGATCACTTTGCACTTAAATATATGTAGAATACAAATTTAAATTGTATTTTAATAGCACATCCAAAATAATTTATGATATGTGCACAGTCGTTACTTCAAAAAATTAAAAACTATCGAATTATATTTTAACACTTTTTACAATTATTTAAACTTTTTTAAACACTTTTTGGGAATATTATCACACATTTAACACACTTTTTGCACTATTTAATTAACTGATTTTTTGATTTACTCACCGTTCGAGATCCGTTCCCTCATTCGGAAAATTGAATGTACGTCCTTCCTCGCTGCAGCCAGCAACACACTTCTTCCAATTCACTTTTGGCATTTCGGCTGTAAAATAAAGCTAAAAATTATTAAATAAATGCTAATTTAATTTTATAATAATTAAATATACTTACATGTACACAAGCTGCGTGCTATTTTTCTTATGTTATTCTTCGAAATAACGGCCGTTACAAATGAAGAGCAAAATATGAAAAATGTCTCCATTCGAATAACAATTTTGCAGGATTTCAATCTGGCC